ACGGGGTTAGATACAGAGTAAAGCTCCTTCTACACTGTCCCCCATCAGACACTTCCAGGACAGGGACAGCACAGAGGGTGTGATACTGAGGCAAGATTCCTGTGCACTCTGCATTTAGCCAAAATACAGACTTTGTTGACCTGCCTCTGTTATCACACTGTGAACTGTCTTCATTTCCCAATCTTTGGTTTCATGTCATTTTGAACAAATGTTGGGAATGTAACCTGCTGACAGCAGATGGTGCTGTGAGACTGCTCTGGTTCCTCCTGGACTGACTGACTCACTTACTCACTCCCAGAGCTGTCAAATGGCTCATTTCCCAGTGATGCTCGGGGAAAACGGTGAACTTGAGGTTGTGTCGTTGTACAAGCAGTGCAGAAGCCCACGGGATTTGAGTTTGAACCACAGCAGGGCAGCTGGGAATTAAAACAAAGAACTGCCCACACTGGAAATCCGGAAGGAAGGCAGACATTACTGGAGAAACTCTGCAGGTTCAGCAGCATCTGGAGAGAGAAGCAGAGTTAATGCTTTGAGTCATAGAGTCATACAACATGGAAACAGACCCTCCATTCCAACTCATCACGCATTGACCCGATATCCCAATCTGATCTAGTCCCATTTACCAGCATTTGGCCCATATCCCTCTAAACCCTTCCTATTCATGTACTCATCCAGATACCTCTTAAATGTTGTAATTGTACCAGCCTCCACCACTTCCTCTGGCAGCTCATTCCATACACGCACCACCCTCTGTGTGAAAAAGTTACCCCTCAGGTCCTTTTAAATCTTTTCCCCTCTCACCTTAAACCTGTGCCCTGTAGTTTTGGACTCCCCCACCCTGGGGAAAAGACCTTGTATGTTCACCCTTATCCATGCCCCTCATGATTTTATAAACCTCTATAAGGTCACCCCTCAGCCTCCGACGCTCCAGGGAAAATAGCCCCAGCCTATTCAGCCTTTCCCTATAGCTCGAACCCTGCAGTCCCAGCAACATCCTTAAGTCTTTTCTGCACCTTCTCAAGTTTAACAACATTTGGAATTCTGCATACAATTCTAAAGTGGCCTCGCCAATGTCCCATACATGACGTCCCAACTCCTTCACTCAATGTACTGCCCAATGAAGGCAAGCATGCCAAAAGCATTTTTGCCTTCCCTTCAAGGAACTATGCACTTGCAGCCCTAGGCCTCTTTGTCCAGCAACACTCCCCAGGACCTTACCATTAAGTGTATAAGTCCTGCCCTGATTTGCCTTTCCAAAAAGCAGCACCTCACATTTATCTAAATTAAACTCCATCTGCCCCTCCTCGGCCCATCATCAGAACTATTAGATGCTGCCACACCTGCTGAGTTTCTCCAGCACTTTCTGGTTTTGTTTTAGCTGGGGATGAAATTGAATTCGTATAATTTTAACAAAGACCTGAAAGTCATGGTCAATTGTCATAAGACCTCATCTGGTTCACCAGATCCCTTTTGGGGAGGGGAATTCTGTCACCGTAACCCAGTCTGGGCCTACATGTAACTCCAGACTCCACAGCGATGGGGATGTCTGTGACCTGCTCTCTAAAGAACAGGAAACCACTTGTTCAAGGGGCAATGAAGGACAGGCACCAAATGCAGTACTTTGCAATCAATGCACCTCTCAGTCTCATCCCAGGCCTAAATCT